TCATACATTTTGATAAAAATAAAATATTATTGATATTTGTTGCATTTTGTAAATATACACATATTCATATTGAATTATAATATTTCATTATTTGTTTAATCAATATTTCTATATATTGTTTTTATGCCAGTCACCATATTATTTAAATATACTTAGTAATATCATCATTCAAATTTTAATTTCCCCTCTTATTATTACTACTCCTTATTATAGAAAAATGTGTATTTTATTAATTCCCCTCTCTCTAGTCCCCATCCCATCCCTATTCTCATTTTAATTATGCGATTACTATATTTAAACCTGTTCCCTTTCTAACCATAATCTCTTACCTGCTTTAAAGCTTTAACTGTTTGTTTCTTGGCTTGCCTCCCATATTCCTCTCTTGGATCTTTATTTCTATCTGCTTCCACCTCTTGACTAGTGGTTTTAAACAGTTCTCCTCTCTCTGTTCTTTTCCATTGTCTAGTTTTCAAAATATCTACTCTTGCCCCTATCTCTCTCCCAGAGAAATCTTCCTCGTTCCCCGATTCCTTTTTAAATTTCCTTTGTGTACTCTCTCTTTGGCTTATCATCAATCCTTATTATTTTTGTTATTATCTTCATATGATCTTGTTTCATTTGTTTTGTCTGTTCTATTTTTTCATCTACTCTTTCAGTTGGCTCTTCCTTTTCCTGGGTGTTTTGAACACTCACTATCCTCTGTGTTATGTTTCCCAGCTTTCTGTCTGGGCTCTCCAATTGGTTCATAATTTTCTTAAAATGTCTTGTCAGTGTCTCCCTTGTACTTTGAATTGCCGATGCCATCTCTTTCCAAATTCCACTCCTTTCTTCTTGATGAAGCATCTTGTTAAATTTTATTGTATCTCTCTTTTGTCCAATATTCCAAAGATCATATATATATAAACCTATAGTCACTTCTCAAAACATTCAAAATTCTTAATTCCGTGTATCCCAAGATTGATCAACCTGCTCCTCGGGATAGTCCCATAAATTTTCCAGAATCTCCTTGAATCCCTCTATAAATTCAGTCTTGTGTTGTAATCTTCAGGGGTCATTTTAATGATAGTGTCTCTCTTGTTGTCATATTTAAATCTTCAGTAATCAAATATTTTCAAGATTTTGAGAATGTATTGTTCTTCCTTTTGTCATCAGGTGGCACTATTGGATTACATTTCAATGTTAACCAGTTTTTTTTATGATTTTCCACAATATAAAGATAATGTTAATTTTTAAGTAAATAATTCCAGCATTTCAAAATTCTTAACCAGAACAAGGCCTGTCCAATTTGAAAATCCAATTTTCTGTATTTTTAACAATTTTTCTGCCTTTTTCCCTTTGATTCTTTTTCAGTTTAAAATTTTCCCTGTTAGGCCTGCAGTTATATTACTTTTAGAATCTTTGGCCTGCCACACTTTCTCTCTCTTTCTTTACTATGCTGTTTCATTAGTGGGCAATTGGGAGAGGGGAATAGTAAGGATTAGAATTGTAGAAGTGTTGTCATTCCTTTCTAGAAATCAAGGCCATTCTTTGTCTCTGCACCTCCACATCTGACTGGAACTAAATGGGTTGAAATGCCAGCGTGGCAGAGGAATATTGGACCATGTGATGGATTTACGGTTGTGGGGACAAGATCATGAACTTTCAACTGGGTGAGAATCCAAGGAAGCTTTCAGATTCGGGATTCCACAGTTGTGCCAACATGTCTGTCTTATTAAATTGGAACCTTAAGGATAGCTCTGCTTTGGACTCTGATTTAATTCTGCATGATATTTGGAATGCTGACATTATCCCGAATCTGCTTTTAAAATAAATCACCAGCAACCCCCCTGCACTGGGGCTGGTGAGGGGTGCTGATTTCCCAATGCTGACTGACTGGGTCAGCGCACATTTTAAGCAAACAATTAAGAGAAAGCTTTTTGAGATAAGAAGCTGAGATGAAATGCTTCTCTACATCTCTCCCAAGCAGCAAACGAATTTGTGGGAGAGGAAATTTGCAGATAAATAGTATCTGGAGGGGACTGGGAAAACTAATTCACCACACGGCTGGAGAATGAAAGTCCCAGATCAACTTGAGCAGCTAAACATGAGTGATGCTTCCCCTCCTTCCCCAGCCAAGGCTCGGGAAAAAAAACCTGGAGTGAAGATTTTGACTCCTTCCAAACAGCAATAAATGAAATGACCCATTACCCTGCAACTGAGTTGAAGGCAGATTCCCAGTTAAAATGGGGAATTCAAACCAATCAGCAGGAAGGATTTTGGCAACATCTCTCACTAGCCAGCCACCGAAAATTGGGCTGCAGCTTGTGAATCAAGCACCACCAGGTTACATTTTCTTCCCAGGTCATGGATGGAATAGATGCCAGTGGGCACCTGCTTGGCCATCAACATGGGAGTTGCCACCGGTGGAGGAAAAGGGCCACCCAGGGATGAATGAACCCAAGGGCCCAGAATCTGCAGCACCTGCAGCAGAGTCAAAAACCCCAGGGATCCAACAAGTACCAAAAACCTTGTTGGGGGATGTTTTGTCGAGAAAACCATAGAACTACAGTAAGAAGGGAGAAGTTGTTCACCCCATCATTTCTTCCTCCCACCAAAAGACAGCCCAAGTCACTAACCGAAGGCAGGATAAGCTGATGACAGCTATGAAATTGGTGCTCCCAACAGATCAGTGGCACAACAATAACCAGGATATCCTAACGATGGAAGATGGAGTCCAAACTGTATGTCCCTGTGAGGTTGAGGCTGGAAGTTTTACAGCAAAGCCATGAAGTGGAACTAGGAGGCCACGTTGGATTCCTAAAAACACTCCACCTCGCCAGATGTCAATTTTGGTGGCCAAAGATGAAATTGGAGGTGGAAGATTACGTAAAAATGTGTGCAACTTGCGCAATGATGAAACCACTGTCAGAGAAGTCCCCTGGATTACTACAATGAACGGCCAGCCCTAACCCATCATGGGAAGAGGTCGCAGTGGACTTCATTGTGGAATTCCCAGACAGAAGCGAAAATAGAATAATCTGGACAGTTATTGATTTGTTTTTCAAGCAAGCGCATTTCATCGCTTGCTCAGGGTTTCCGTCCACAAATAAATTAGCGAAAATGTTTGTGAAACACTTTTATCACCTGCAGAGGTGGATCCCAAGAGGATCATTTCAGACCGCGGAGTCCAATTCACAACCAAGTTCTGGAAAGAGGTTCTGAGGTCCATTGGGTCCACACAAGAACTGAGCTCAGAGGTTCAGCCCAGCATGAACTGCACAGCAGAGAGGGCCAATGCAGTGGTGGAACAATACATCTGGTGTTATGTGGTCTATCAGCAAAACAACTGGTTGGACTTGCTACCCTTCACCGAAGTGGCGTACAATGATGCGGTCCACAGCAGCACTGGATTAACTCCTTTCCAGATTACCAGTAGCATGGAATTTGTTGCCATGCCTGAGCTGCCTAGAGAACCTCCCTTCTCCATGTCTCTAAATGAATGGATGGACACACTAAAGAAAGTATGGGAGACTACGAAGAAAGCTCTAGCAGATACGGCAGAAGCCTACAAGAAGCAAGCTGATAAACATCGCTCGCTCCAAACCCCCTTTCGTGTGGGGGACAAAGTTTTTGTATCTACAAATACATGAGATTAAGAATGGCTAGTAAGGAATTTGGTCCAAAATTTCTTGGTCCATTCCCAATAGTGAACATAGTTAACCCAGTTACAGTTCAACCCAGTCCAGAAGTCTAGGGATAATTGACCCAGAATTTCATTGTAGCTTGTTGAAGCCAGTAATTGGGTCCAGCATAAGAGCATCCACCCAAGATTTCCCTTCTCCTGTAGTGATAGAAGGAGAAACACAATCTGAGGTGGAAAAAATCATAGACTCCAGGCTGAATAGGGGTCGCTTACAGTATTTAGTGCATTGGAAGGGTTACCCTTTGTCTGAAGCTACTTAGGTGGAAAGCTGGAACCTAAAAATGGAAAAGTTAGTAAAACAATTCCATGAGAAGTTTCCCGATAAGCCAAAGGGTCCCCCTGAGGGGGGAAGAGGTGGTTAATTGTGTTATGTTAACTTTTATGTTATTCTCTTTTCAGAAAACATTTTCTTCTGAGGAGAGGCCGT